TGCTTCTGGCAGCCTTATGGCTCTGGCTCCCAGCCCCATCACTCCAGAGGCCTGGTTGTTCCAGCAAACTGCCCGAGGCCAAGAAGAATTGCACCACAAACAGTAACAAACTCTCAGCCTCAGTGTCCAGACCTGCACATGGAGCTTTAGTGCAAACAAGCAAGACCAGGCCTGCAGAACAATCCTACATACATGAGTTCTATAGACCTAAAAAAGAGATACCTCTGCACCTCAAAGAGCAGGAAGCATAGCTTCCTGCTGCCAAGTCTAGCCAGGCTTTGGGGCACACACTGCTTACCTTCTCAGCAAGGGTTATTTTTCCAGCTCTGAAGATGATTATAGCTCCATCCATTGAAACACGCATATTTCGTATCTTCTGAAAATCTTCTTTCCGTCCATAGTTCACATAGATGGGTTTGCCCTGCAATAGAAACACTGGTTATGAATGCAGCAGTCCAAAGTCAGCAAGATACCTGCAAGAGCCTACAGAGTCACTGTAACAGTGACTCCTGTTAACAGTGGGGAGCTGAAGCTCAGCAATGTAAACTGATCCACTGCAAGACGCCCATTGGAGCGGCACTTCTGCCAAGGGTCCTGTCTGCATTCCAGCAGGGAAGTTTAAAGTTACTCCAGCATCTTGCTGCAGTAAGAATGCTATCTGGGCCCATTCCTCTCTCCCCTCTGTGACCACCCCACCCAGCTCTCTCAGCTGGGGAGGGCTCTATATACTCCCTATCTTAAAGGGACTTATTTTTTAAGTGTACAGACATATTTCCAGGATTCTTCTGGAGTCACTTACAGCAACTGTGCCGCTCTTGCTGTATGCCACATATGCATCAGGACTCTCCAACACTTCTTCACCATCTTCTACAATGACCACTTGGTTCTTGCTACTGTTAAATGTAGATAGACAGCATTATACTCTTTCACACAAGAACTTATTTAGCTCAGTATTCTGAGTCAGTATTGTGACTGTATTCAGTCTGTGCTCTAGCAATTCTGATCATGTCAATACAGCCTGAAGCAAGCAAACTCATCCCAGTACTTCCATGCAAAATCTCTGGAGCTGGTCAGAGACATTAATGAAGGCTGATTTCTAAGACTAGTAGCAGAAAGAGTATCTGCTTCCAAGTCTCTCAGTCACCTCCCAAGAGAAGCTGAGCAAACTCATTTCCCCTGACAAAAAGGGGCAAGTCAGACATGAGGGAGTGAACTGTCAGACAACACAATGCCTGCTGACACCCTCCTGAGCTACTGGAGGAGCCACTGCCAGGTGTGCAGCCCTGTCTGGGTGACAAGACAGAGTCACCTGTGCCAGCAGTTTTAGACACAGGGAATCTGCCTGTCAGCTGAGTTTTCACTCAAGTTTGTTTTCTCTTCACTTCCTAAGCATACTTGGAGGAAACAGCTGCCCCAGGAAACATCCAGAGTGTTGCTTCCAGATCCTCTGGATTCAGAAAGCCTGAGAAGAGGCAGGAGCAATTACTGCTTGGCTAGATTGGGGTTGACTTTGCAGAGTGGTAACTGGCTCACAATTTTCACATCATTTTAAGCAGAAATCACACGTTTGCTCAAGACTACAGGTATCGATGCTATATGGACGAGATGTGCACCTCTTCTTTAACGTACCTGCCTTTATCCTGCAGCCTAACGTAGTGCTCATCATTCCACACGTCATCCAAGCGGAAGCTGGTGAACTGGTCATGAATGTAGCTGGCAGTGCTCTCATCTTCCACCTTGCCAGCTTCAAAAGAATTCTTACCTTCTCTTTGCCTGTAGGTAACAGATATATGTATAGCTTAGGCTACAACACCAGGCTGCACTGCAGTCTGCAAAGCCATTTAAGCCTGAGTTTAAAACACACCACCTTACATAAGCTTATTCTCGAAATGAGCCCGAGTTCTGCTCACAGGCTGTGCCTCTCAAAGCTCCAGATAAACTTTCTGGAACCGTTACCTCAGGCTGGTCTCAAGACGTGCAGCTGACAGTTTAGATGACAACATGTTTCTTAATTCAGGCCAGTATAAGATACGTGGTCCAGGAACCTCTTCTTCCTCCATTCCATCATCTGAGAAGTAAGATGCAGTAGGAGTCATCTCGCAGTTGCCACTTCCATCCAGACACCTGTTAACCCTCTGTGTTCGTCCACGGTAACTCAAGTAGCCGATCAGAAACCCTGTGGACAGAACAGGTATTTCTTTGTGCTGCAGAAAGATGACTGAACCCCACCACACAGCTTCAGAGTTGAGATACATCTCTGCTCTCACCATTTTTGACTAGCTGGCTTACCCAAGGACAGACAAATATGCAGCCTGACATTTTGCCTGAGCTGGCATGTTTCAAGGGGCACTGTAAATCTGATCTTGCACTTGGCAGAGTCCCTCCAGCGCCACTTGGGAAGGAAAATGCTCACTTTAGGCCAATGGCATTGTTAAAAACCTTAAGAGACAAGTACCAAAGGCTTTACTCATCTGTTGACCTGTATCTCTACAGAAGTGTTAGGAGTTAATGGAGGGAAAACAAAACTTTGACATGGACCAGTTTTCCCTTCAGCTAAGTCACAGTTCTCCACAATCAAACTCCACAATTCTTTGTGTCAGTGCTGTACCATAAGTCTGATCTAGACATACTTAGTGACAAGAGGCTGTGGCCTGGATCCCAGTTGTTGAATTATCTCTGAAAACAATACAGACTGAAATTTAACAATCTCAGATTACATTCAATACCAGAGTCCACTTCATGCAGTTGCCTCCCACCCTTCCTTACCAATCAAAAGGAGGAGGACAGCTGCAATGATTACGAAGCAGAGGCTCTTGCCATTCCTCCGTGGAGGAGGCATGCTGGCATGCAGGTGCTCTGGCCTCCCAATTTCCCCTCCTTCCTCCTCATCAGCAGCCAGGTTCATCTCCACGTGGCTGTTGTCTCCATCCGTCTGCCGGGCAATGCTGAAGCGTGTGTACGATGTTGGCTCGCCGCTGAACTGTGTGGAAAGGCAGTCAAGAGATGGAAGAGTTGGCTACACCAGCCTGCAGTCCTTGCAGTCAGCTGCACCTGTGCTCCAACCCAAACACTGCTGGTCCATCTGCAGCTGCTGCAGTGCAGCGAGCGTTTGGGCTGACAGGAAAGTTAAGACTCAGACCCACTCAGGGTCTCCAGAGTCTATTTCAGACCTGCAGCTCCACTCTGACCCACACCACCCACCGTGAAGTGGCTGCCTGCTCATATTTCGGAAAGGGCAACACTGCAGTCAGTCCTAACATTCTCCCTGCTCAGCTGCTCCGCAGCTTGGCTCCCTCACACCTGAGGCATGTCCTCACACACAGGACATGCCCCAACCCTGCGTATCTCCCATTCTTGTTCAGAGACCAAACCACCACACTCTCAGTTCTAGCCTTGGGTCATTTCACAATCCAAGCTCTCTAGGACCAGCAGGCTTGGCTGAACAAGTTCCTGCACATTTGTTTCAAGCACAGGTTGCTTTCAAAAGCTGGACTTGTGGTTGAATTTCCACCCCCCAAGTAACAATAGAACACATGTTGATTGTCCCAGTAGGCATTTGAAGGGCTTCCTCAGCAGCACTTCCTTCTGCAATTTTATTCATGGCCCGCCCCCCCTTTCTTAACAGCCCTCAGAGACCCAAAACACGACAGCAGCTAATGATAAACCCACCAGCACTGAACTGCTTGAGCCACTTCCTTATCATAGCCAGCTACTTGCAGTGACATTTGGCTCACCATCCACACAGCAGCACCTAACGCTGCTTTGGATCCATCATCTTCTCCAATACTGATAAGTAGTGATATTTATGATGTTTATTGAATAAACATAGCTCACTACCCATCAAATATCCTTCATACAGTTCCACCAACAAAGCCACCTGTTGCACAGGATAGCTATACGCAATTCTACAACTCACGTATATTCAAACAGATAACAAACTGCATGGAAAAATATAAAAATAATATTATACAATCTCATACACAGATGTTGTTGAACCCTTCTTCTACAGAACCATCAGCCCACCAAGAAACAAAGAGCATTAGGGTACCATGTCTTACCAAGTTAGAGATTGCTGCTCTGGCATGATCCATTGCCTTCTGGACAAATGCAAACCAACTTCACCAAAGCCTAGAAGTTCAGAATACAACAAGGTTAGGCTGTTCCCCTGCCACTACATTACACACCTGAGGTCAGTTACTGCCACTACTGCACTGCTTGCCCATGGATTTTCTGTGCATGCTTCCACCTAAGTCACTACTTTAGTGAACCTGCATGAATGAACCTTGAATGCAACCTGAAGTTCCCATGGCAGTTATAAGCTCCAATCAGTTCTTTCTGTTGAACTTTGGGCATACTGACAGGCATACAAACGAGGAATAATACAGTCTCCAATGGCTAAGTTCAGCCTAGGGTCTTATTAATGGCGGGAACATCTCCATTTAGGGAGTGCTGGCAAGAGGCATTTACTCAACTGCCACCACGGACTCTAGATATCTAAGGTTCCTGGGCTCCATCTCAATGACAGGAAGAGTCCAGCTGGAAGAGAGAAGTCGCACAAGGCCATAAGGCAAAGCAGCACAAACTCCAACCCCTGACAAAACACTTCTAATACGAACATCCCTCCTAGACAGCGATGTTCTCAAAAACTTTGTGAAGGCAATTTCTGTCTTGAAAAGTCTCTGAAAACTGCTACATTTTCAAAATAGTTTCAACAACTTTTAAAATTCTAAGTTCTCTGCAAACAGCAAACATATCTGAAAGGTAAACTGAAACTCATTTGCTTCTCCATTTCTTCCTGGAAAAGGTTTGTAATTTAATGAGTGACCAGACAGGTGTTGAGGTTGCGAGCAAGCAACCTGAGTATGCCCTCAAGCGCCGCTGCTAATAGGTGCTCTGGTCTTCAGGTGCACGTGGATTAGCTCTACACCGGGAGCCCTGCAAGGTTTTATTTGGAGATCAAAGGTTAACAGTGGCCATTGCTTATTTCACCTTTTATTTAGGGCAAGAACACCTGGAAGTGAAACCCCGACAGATTCGAGAAGCCTTCCCCAAGTGACAGCCTGAGGCCGCAGGCTCCCACCGGGGCACGAGCGAACCGAGCATGTGGACGGTCTGCTAAAAGGAAACCCGGCAAGACGCAGGGAAGCACAAAGGGCCTGCGGGCATCGCACCTGGTACGGATGCCGACCCGAGCCCCTCCAGCCAGGCCCCGATCTTTCAGAAATACGCCAAAGAGAAGAAAAACAGAGAAAACCGAGAACGCCTGAGCAGCCACGCCGCGGGGCTGGGCGGCTCCGCTACGGCCACGAGGGCCCGGCTGCGGAGCGCCCGATAAGCGGCGCGGGCGATAGGCGGCCGGCCGCGGGCACGTCTGCCCCGTGCCCGCCGTGCCGGGCCCGTCAAGGTCGCGGGCACTGCCGCATGCGGCGCGGCCCCGTGCGCCGCCAGGGCCCTCGCGCCGCCGCCGCCGCTCCCGCGCCGCCTCCCTCCGTCCTCGCCTCCCGCCCCGCTCCCCGGCATTCCGCTGCCGCCGTGCCGCGGCCCCGCGCCCGCTCACCCGCAGCAGCTCCAGCGCCGCGCCGGGCTCCACTGCGGCGCCCGTGGTAGAGTTAAGGCGCGGCGGGATTGGCCCAGGCGCGGCCCAGCTCGGAACGCGTCTGTAGGGGCGGGACGGAGCTCCGCCTCCCCGCTGGCCTGAGCACGTTCCGCCTGCTGCGGCTGTTCGTGCTGCTGCGGGTCCGTGTCCCGCCGCCCGCACAGCCCACCCAAGGGCTCGGCCGTGTGCCCTGCCTGGCCTTGCTGCGCAGAGGCATAGGGCAGAGCTCCAAGATCATCCAGTCCAACCATCAGCCCAGCATCACCACTGTAATCGCTAAACCGCGTGAGCCAGCACCTTTTAAGCACTCCAGGGGTCACGAATCCATCACCTCTATAGAAACCTATTCCAGTGCCTGAAACGGCGAAAAACAATTTTCTAATAATTCTAACAATTTTCTAATACCTAATCTGAATCTTCCATCTCAGCTAAAGGCCATTTCCTCTAATCCTCTCACTGTAGGCATGGTCCCCTCCTCACTACAACCTACTTCCTTTATAAAGAATGAAGCAGCTCGCTTTATAAATTGCCTTTAGGTGCTCTTGGTACAGTGGAGGAGCTAAGTGGCATGTGTTTCACTGCCTGCACACCAGTCCCAGCTTCCCCGCAGGAAGGGCTGGAAGTGGGGCAGGGAGATGAGGTTAACAACTCTTCGTGGGAAGGCATGCTTGTACCACAGTAGAAGAAAGAGGGGATCACAGATTCAGCATTCCCACCCTCTCAGCATTTTGAGGGATGAGGGCAGGAAAAATATTTTCCTCCCTGGGTGGTGCAAACAAGACACAGGACTTGCTCTGGCTTGGGAGGCTTGCAGCATCCTCAGGTCCCAGCAAGTCTCATGTGCTCAGGGCTACCTTTTTAGATCTGAATGGGCAGAGACACCCGAGGTGCCTTTCCTTTGTGTTGGGCTGCACAGATTGCTATTTATTTGTACAAGGAGAAGCATGGCAGGTGTTTTGACTTCCAGCCCATAAACACAAGTATGGACAGCCTGCGTCAGGACACAGGCTGTGGCCCACCATGAGAGAAGGTCACTGCTTCCAGCCTCAGTCCTTCAGCTCAGGGCATCCCTCAAAAGCATGTCACAGCTACAGAACGCTTCAAGGTTTGTGTGTGTGCATGTTCTGCAGTACTGTGCTCATTTGTCCCTTGCTCATTACAAAAATAAATCAGTAGGCCCGGATTATTGCCTCAAATCCTTTCCTAAGAAAGAAGGATGGGAGCAGAAAGTTTGTAGTTTGGCAGAACACATGATTGCAAAGAGGATTACGTTTGGTGAAAAGCAATACATTCCTGTGCTGATAAAAGGGGGATTAACTAGACCTGAAATTCAGCTCGAAGTCTGGAGACAAGACTGTAAAGTGTCTCTCAGGCAAGAAGTGCTGGCGGACCTGCCAGTTCTGTTTACCAGAGGAGCTCTGAGCCGGGCTCTCTCTGCTCTAGATTCATCCCTCAGCAGCTGCGATGATGCCAGGCATGGGAGGGAAAACCATTGTCACTCGGCGTGTGACTGACCCGTGGTACACGGTGCTGGCCGGTGCCTTGGTGGAAGCCCAAGGCATAAGAGAGCTCTGAAAGAGTTTAGATCAGTCCTGCAGGCTGGATGCTCCGCTCATTTCTCACCACAACAGCCTGGATGCAGCCTGCTGCTCAGGAAAGCATAACCCGGGGAAAACCCCGCAGCTCTGCCCTGTTTTTTATGCTCCTCCTGGGCTCCCCTCCCCAAGCCCTCAGCTCCCTTTACCTGTGCACACCGTGCCAGGCGCAGGGCAGCGATTCCACTCCGAGGGACACCTGCAGGGCGCTCAGGCTCCGGACGCTCCCTGCAGCAAGGTGGCAATGCGAGCCGGGAGGGCGGCAGTGGGATTTGCGGCAGCCCGCGCTGCCGGCCCGCCGGGCCTCCCTTCCGGCGGCAGCAGGCGGAGGTTCGGCCCGGCCCGCCCGGCCCGGCCCGGCCCGCCCTGCCTGCGGGGCTTTGCCCTTCCCAATCGCGGCGCCCTGCGCTCAGTTCCCCATTTCTGCACGTGCCCGGAAAAAGAGAAGAAAGCTGCTCTTCTAGAAACTCAGATATTTTTTGCGCCTCAGCTGGCTTTGGCGGTAAAATACCTTAAAATGAGTGTTCTTCAAAAGCAGTGTTGTGTACCCCTGACTTCACCCTGCAAGTGACTGGGAGCTGGCTGGCTGTCGGTGCTTGCTGCCTGGTGCCACCTCTCTCAGGGACACCTGCTGTTGACACAGTGACGCCTGTACTGCTGGCAGTACCGAGCCCAGATGCTCGGGCTGCCCAGAACAACCAAAAAAATCTTTGCGAGGAACGGAGAGCAAAAACTGGGAAATAGATGAAGAGGAAAGAGGATGTAGGATTGGTTACTGCTGACTTCTGATCTGTCTTCCCAGCATCAGGGTGTTTCTCCTCATTGTGGTTTGGCAAACCAAACTATTTGGCTATTTTAGGAGATGTCCATGTGTCCTCTGAAATCCTGGGGGGTTTGTCAGTCCTCTGACTAGACTCAAATGACTCCACATGCTTTTGTACAGTATATCTCATGATGTGCCAGCATCCTTCCTCTGGGATGCTGAGAACATGTGATCAAAATATGGTTTCACTTCAGTTTTGCAGCAGGATTTGGTGATCCTTGTTGGTCCCTTCTGTGAAAATCTGGTTTTCCAGCAGCTTATCACAAACAATGTTGTGAGGTGGCTTGAACACTTCTATGGCACGAAATACTGCAACTAACATGGCTCTTCAGTCTGGAAGGGATGGAAAAGCCGAGAACCAAGTGCTGGAGTTGGATCTGCTGTTGGGCTGAGGCCAAGGGCTGTGGGACATGCAGTGGTCTGTGGGGTGGGAGGTGGTTATAGGGCTCCCTTTGGCTGTGCACTCCATGGAACAGGGGCTATGTGGCACTCCAGGCACCCCAGGGCGCAGGGCCAGAGCGGCAACAGGCACCTGGAGACAAAATAAAGACTTTGATCTTCTGCCCTGAAAGGCAACTGCTTCCTCTGGATCCCAGCCACTCAGAGGAGTGGCAGTGCCAGCTGCAGCCTTCCTGGGTTTGAGGGATACACTGTCTGTGCTCCCCTGTCACCTCATGACTTGCACCTCATGGGTGCAGTCAGCTATTATAGGTCCCAGGAAGCTGAGAAATCTAGTTTTACTTTCAGTGTCAGAATCATACTGCAACCCCTCTACTACCCTAACCTTCCAGGTTAGGTCTGGCAGGCAGGGCTCCCAGGAGAGCCTGCCCTCTCTGCCTCTGTCCCACAAGCCAAGAGTGCAATAGCCAAGAATTTCACAACACCATGAGTATCCCCATCCTCCAGAAGACCACATATTTTGACTTTTGCTGCTGCATTTCTCAGTTGTGCTACAAAAAGTGGGTAAAGTAATTGGGTATGATCCTCTAGGAAAAGCCACATACTGCCTTGGAGAATGTCATTCCATCCTGCTCTCTCCCAGCAATCCAGGCACCCACAGCCATGGTTGGGAACTATTGTTCCTTGGCCACAGCCCTGACACATGCTGCCATGCAGGCTGAGGAAGGAGAGGGACTGTGACAGGCACTGGCATGTGGGAGAGGATCTGCTGCCTCTTCTTGTCCTGTAGCAAAGAGGCTGTGGAGGAGGTGAAGGAAAAGGCACTTGGGAGAATGAAAACACAGTGGGTAAAGCTACAGCTGGCCACAGCATTGTTGTCCCTTCAAAAGAGCACTCGTCTTTGCATCCTTCCTGGGGAAGCACCTGGGGCTGGCCTGGCTCTCCTCATCTTCCACAGCTGGCCTGGAGAGGAGACAGAGCACCAGGCACCTGGAGGAGAGATGTGGGGCTGAGGACAGTGTGGCTCCTATAAAGATGCTGACCTGGGGTGTCCCATGGACCACCCCCTCAAAATCCTCTGGGATTTTTTTTTTTTTTTTGCCTTCCTGCAGTGTGGAGGCTCATCTCCCCATCTCTCCTGTCACACAAGGAGGGATGTGGATGCAGTGATGCTCATTACTGCTGCTCTGCTTGCCAGGAGCTGGCATGGAGGCCCAGCAGAGGGGCTTATGCTTGGACACTGCCCCAGTGGGACTAAAACAGTCTGGCTCTTTTGGCGGGGCTTCCTTGCTTGCAAAGACTGGGTTTCACTGGGATTTTAACCACCAAGTCATGGACTCTGTGCTCCTTGCACCACCCCACCTTACCTACAGGGAGGAGGATGCACTGTAATCCGGCTCTATGCCTGCCCAGAGGGCGCGGAGAGATGAGCGATGATCAAAGAGCTTCAGCACCTTTAAGTGTTGCTTGCTGCCTGGCAGTTACCTCTGCTGGCAAGCTCTGGCCCTCCCCAAGGGCAGAGAGGGGGAGAGCAGCAGTGCCAGGACATCCCTGGGCGTGCAGGGCACTGATACCGCTGCTGCCGACTGCAGAGTGCCCGGCTGTGGGGCTGTTGTTGACCCGGATCCCTCGCCCCTGTGGGGTCAGCCTGGCAGAGCCCTCGCTATCTTGGCAGCTGCAGCTCGTGTGTCCCTGCTCCGATAGCAGCTCTGCCCGTGAGCCCGCCTGCCTTTATCTGCGGGTCAGGGCGGCTGTGGCAGG